CCCCCGCGCGGCCTCTAGCCGGCGCCCGGGAGGCGGCTCGGCTCGGGCGCAGGTGCACTGGCATGGCCCTGGCAGAGCCTGGGCCCGGCGTCTCACACCAGCTCCCCCCACCAGCCTTTCTGTGACACCCCACTCCCCTAGTGCCGCTCATGACCCCTGCGCTCCTCACACCAGCTCCCCCCACCAGCCTTTCTGTGACACCCCACTCCCCTAGTGCCGCTCATGACCCCTGCTGCGGCGCCTCTGCTCCACTCGGGCCGCTTTGCCCATGTAACCAACCTCTAGCGAGACCCCCCCTGCCTGCCCCTCCTCTCCCTTCGGCCCTGCTCTCCTGCTGCTCTGAGTGGCTTGTGACTCGTGAGTTGTGCCGTCTTCCTAGCTAAATGCGCCTCCAGACTCCACACTTCAATCCTGGCTGCCTTTTTGACTAATTTCTCTAACCATCTCCTCCCATCTCCACTTGTCTGTCTGCCTGCCCAGGGGCCTTTCAAGAGACAACTCACATGCAATGCAGCCTTTCCTCCTTCTCTATCCTCCTCTACCCCCTGTCAAAGAGACACTTTCCTCCTCTGCCTCTTTTCCATGAGACCTAGTAACCCTATCCCATCCCCCCAAATCTTATTATACCCTCTCCCTCACTCTTCTCCTTAACCTCTTTATTTTCCTCTCCCTGCCACAACAAAGCAGCTTTCACCTGTCGCCCTTGACTCCAGTCAGTCCCCGCCACTACAGTTCCATCTCCTTCATGTTATTCATCTCTCGGCTCTTTGTACGTGCTGTTTTCACACCTTGTCCCTAGTTTCTCCTCCAGCTCCATCCTAGACCCACTCCATCCTAGTTTCAACCTGTACACTCAGATGAAACGGGTTTTGCCAGTTTGGAATGAGCTCTTCCTGGCCACATCTCAGAACAACACTCCAGTCTTGTCCTCCTTCCATACCATCAACTGAGCTTTTTCCTGTTGACATCTTGTCCCCCCTTAGTTTGCATGACTCATCTACTGCTTCTTTTCCTCCCTCTCTCCATCATGCCCTTTGGAGGATCCCCACATCTCCCCCTCCAACCTTATGTGGCAGTTTTAAAGGGCACTGCCTTTGGTCCCTTTCTCTTTCTCTCTTCATCTTATCTTGGGGTGACTTCAACCATAAACACAAATTCGACTCCCATAGCTTTGCAGGCAACTCACAGATCTCACCCTCTATTCTAGACCTGTCTTCTGTTGTTCATCCTTCGCAAGCGAAGATGAGGAAAAAGGAGAAAGAAGAGAGAGGAGGGAGTGGAGGATAGGTTGCGTGAGTATGCAGGTGACATATAAGCCCAATCGTTGCCCTGAATGATCTGCTGCAGCAGGGGCAGGACAGCAACGAGGACTGGACACAAGAAGTCCTCGATTTCCTGGCCACACGTTTCCTCACTGCCTCCGCCATGCGCCACTCTGGACCAATGACCTCCAGGATAGACAGTCGCAAGTGATTTGAACCCACAACTCCAGGTCGATGCTGAAACTCTTCCTTGTACCTCTTCTTTGGTGCACCGCAAAAGTGTACTCCATTTGACAGTTCACCATAGAAGATTTTCTTCAGCAGGCGAGTGTCGGTCATTCTTGAAGGGTGGCCGGCCCATCTTAGCTGTGCCAGTTTCAGTAGCGTGTGGATACTGGGGAGAGCTGATCTTCTGAGCACCTCAGTGTCCAGAATCTTGTCCTTCCACTTGATCTTTAGTATCTTTCACAGGCAGCAGAAGTGGAAGTGGTTTAGTTTCTTGACGTGACTGGTAGATGGTCCAGGTTTTGCAGGCATAAAGGAGGTTCGGGGGAATGATGGCTTTGTAGACCTTCCGTTTCATGAACGTTCTGATGCCTCTGCTCAAAGTAAAATGTCAGAGTATGTCTACACTGCCTCTCTCTCTTCTCCAGGCTGCTTCTGCTGAAATAAAAGTTCCTCCTATGTGGTTCCACTTGGTAGCACCAGAACACAGGCTGTCAGGGTGCTCTGGGGGACCACCCACCATGGCTCTTGAGCCAGAGAGACATGGAGAATGGCAGTGAGAGATAAAGAGTCCTCACTGCCTCAGGGCCAAGTTTGCAGCATGCAGAATGAGAATAGGTAGACAGGCCACCTTCTTTTTGGAAGCAGTCTGAAAAGTATCACAATGACAATGTAGACAGGCCATCCATCCTTGTAGATGCCTAACCTTTCGTTCAAGTTGAACACGGCTGAAACATGACTCTTACTCTTCACACCCCCCCCAGAAGGATAGGTGCCCACAACCTCCTTACTTGATCAGTGTGGGCAATATCGCTATCTTGCCTGTCACTCAGGCTTTTTAATCAGGGCATCATTTCCAACTCAGATTTCACTCTGGGTCCTCACACACAGGCTACAGCTAAGCTCTAATCTTTCATTATTCATCCACACAATTAAAACTCATGTCCAAGCTCTCTTTGTCTCACCAATCATTTCAATGGACTGCAACATCCCATTTTCTGGCTTTGACAATGCAAACTTTCCCATATCCATCCATTTTGTTGCTGCAAAAATAGTTTTCCTAGCCTACCACTTTGCACCATGTCACCTCTTCCTTTACCAGCTTCCCTTGGCTTATACTTCTCTATCACATTAGGCATAACCTACTCATAATTTTCAAGGCCTTCTATGACACACCCTGCCTCTTCATCATCTCTCATTCAGTTTCCAGAGGTTGACTCCTGCCTCCGATGCCAGTCTATGACACTTGCCTCTATAGCCTCCTTGTTAGGTTTTCAAATAAGCACTTTCATGCTTCTCCCATGCTACCCTTCATGCTTCAGAGAAGCTCCCTCTAAGCATCTCAGAAGTTCTCAGAAGTGCTTCATTACTCTCCTTTATTCTCTCCTCAAAACTTCCTTTTGCCACAAGGCCTACAGAAAACTTGACTACAGTTAAGATGTAAATCTGCTGAGACTACTGTGCATGATGTTGACTGGTATTGTCTCCTTGTGCTTCCTTGTCAGTCTATTCACCTGTTGCCTCATGTTTTATTCTTAGGCTGTGAGCTTCTTAGGGTGGGGGCTGTCTTTTAGTTCTTTTTTGGCAAGCACTTGCCACAATAGGGACCATATCCATGATTAACAATCCTAGCTCTTAT